AAAGGTGACACAAATTAAAGTATTGTTTGCACATTCGACATATCCGCCATCTTTGAAATCGTGGAAAAAAGGTTGCGCCTTTATCGTTACGTGTCTGCGCTATTCCCCGATGGTAAACCTATAGTCGGTCGTAAGAGACGTGATACTGTAAATTGTGTTCGCTAATGTTTTTGTGTTCAATAAATCATCGTTTATAATCGCGCTATTAGCATAACAAATATCAAAGATTAAGTTTCTTTAGCTAATTTTTTCCTATTTTGAGACCATTACACGATGACTATTTCACAATTAACATTACTACGCAAGGAGAAAAGTTCATTGGTATATTTTATATCGGATTTCACTGTTACTCAGACAATAACGTACACTTCCTTCGTATCAACATTGCCAAAATCTAGATTTGATAAAACTGCGGCGAAACGAAGATTTTCGGACGTCAAAACAGCCCTCTGCCACATGATTCCTTTGACGCTTGGCGATGCCAGAAACCTTTGCTTTGCGCATAACCCAAGGATCTGATGACTGAGAACTCAAACATTTGAAGTAAATCGACGCATACATAGGGTGGGTTTCTCGTTAGATAGCAGTCTGAGCGGGGATCAATTCCACAACGAACAAGATAAATATGATTTTCTTGAGCATTTTAGTAGCCTTTGGCCCCATTTGGAATCAATTCTCAGCGTGTTATTGTCTGTTGTGTTTTGGGTGCAAAGCATTCTGGGGTCGGTATTTAAGCAGAGGCTATCACTGCATGTAAGGAAATAGACCTTAGTTAGCAGTCGCACTTGTCCAAGCGATATTTGTTTCATCCATGTATAAGTAATAAGGTTGGCTACTCTCAAGTCTCTATCATGGTTTAGATATTTTTGGCGGCTTCGTTTCTAATTTTCCATCAAGTGTCCAGTGTTCTTAAGCAGGATATTGATATTTGTAATGTTCATTGCCTTGAAGCGTATATGTTGCTTGTTTAGCTAACTCGCTCAGTTACGTATTCCATTTACTCTTGTTGATCCACCGGCATTTTAAAATGTCATGTTATTGTTAACACACTTTTTCAGACCTTGCTTAAAGCACTCGAGGGACCACATATCTGAGTAATATTTTCCCCCGTCTTTCCGATTAGTGATTTCTAGGAAAAGAGTCTTAAAATCGCATGTCTAAACACTCAGTTCGCACGTTTTTCCCTTATCCACAGTTATTTTCATCCTGATTACAATTTAATTTATTATGCACAGAAAGGGTGTTTTAATGGCACTGTCTTAAGTATTTAAATTGTAATTGAAGTTAGCTGAAGAAATCGTACCTTCGGAAAGCGTTAAGTATCTATTTTAGAGAATCCTCAAGCGTCATATATTTCCGTGAAGTGCACTATAGCTCTTTGCATGGTGACGCTGAGCGCTAAGTATTATCACAGCTGTACAAGAAAAGTAAAACTGCCGTCTTGTACTCCTCACTGGATTTCATTTCAAGATCTGTGTTCCTGGCTACAGAAACACTTCAAGGAAACAAAAAGTGCAGTTTTCCTTTAATACTCTCACAGGAAGGAAATAGGAATCTACGAGATTAGCGGCTTCATAATTTTTCATGGAGGAATATTTGTCCTAAGGGGATTATGTGTGCAAGGCTCACTTCGAAAGGCCTTAAACCATATCAAAACAACGTGCCAACTGTATACTGTTCGAAAAAATCTCTCCCTAGGATGACTCTTTGGCATCAAATCAGTAAGCTGATCTGATTGTTGTCGAAGACGGCAATCAATTGGATTTTCAAGGCTTTGGTGCCATTTTTTCAGATAGCAAACTCCTTTCACCCTCGGTTTCCTCGATATCCTGATTCAGAACGTCATCTTGCCTAGTTGAAGAAATATTTTGTGCAGGAGTCTCGGGTTTTTTCTCTGATATCAGACGAATGACTTGAAATTTCCATGAAATACTCAGATAAACTATCCCTTATGGTTAATGCGTGTGCGAATCAGATAAGTGTCCTCTTTTGCAAATTTTTTGGAAAATGTAGAACAAAACATTAATTGAACTCGGGTTTCGCATAATATCGTGAAATATCAAAACCTCGTATCTGCGTTATCTGCCGGAGCCGAAGGCTTGGACAGATAACTCAGACACATTCACGATATCATGCTCAACCTCATTCAATAATTGCTTAAAGTCAATTAAGTTAAGTAGTCAAGCTGCCTGCAAAACTCATCTCAATTGTTGTTTTGTCGCCCGAAACTAGTTATATTGTCCGAGATTTTTAGATCATGCTTCAAAATTATTGACTATTTACATTCTGGTAGACTATAAATTGTCAATTACTTAGAGAAGTTCATATCACTTGGTTTTAAATTTTAGCTGTTCTCAAACTAAACTTTCCTCGGATACAGAGGCCAAGCGTTTAGCCAATTTTGCAAAAGTTTCATAGCACTCGCGGAAAAGGTGCTTGGAAACTAGGCAGACTTTGAACTCGACATGATTACCTAGTATCTGAGGCAGTCATTGGGTTACCAAGTTAACTTCACATCCTATTGTACTTTGACTGAATGCTCTCGGCCAAGCAGATGTTCCGTAGTAAGTCTGTTGTATAATAATGATTAAGAACCTGGAGGAACCACAAGACCTCGGAGTAACGCGGATAACCCAGATAACTCAGACCTGATGTTGAACCTCATTCACTAACTGCATTATAAAGTGGATGATCATAATGATAATAATAATAGTACTAATAATGATAATAATGATAATGATAATAACAATAACAATAACAATCATTAAAAACTCGATCATTGGATAATGCAATTCAAGACTTTTTATTGGATTAGCCATTATTGTATATGACCTAATATACCATAATCTAATATCTGTACATTGTAACATCTGGTTTCTTCTTTCAAAATAAAGTCGAGAAGATTTGTGTAATATCTTGGGGGCGTATCTTTTAATAAAACAATTATTCCACTCCCGCTTGTTGGATATGAGGTGATTAGAGCGAACGAGGCGCTACGCGCCTCGTTGGCTATCCATCATCTCATATCCAACACGCGCTGGTGGAATAATTGTTAAATATCTATTCACAGTAAATAAACAGTGAATAGGAGATAAAAGAGGTTATCCCTTTCTATTTTATCTCCTGGTTATAAAATAGATTACGAAATTAAGATACAACTATACATATGATACATCAAAAATAAGAACTTAGCGTTAACTTGCAATTTTACGAGGTGACTTCTCAGTCTGTTCTTAAAAATATTCAAATTTGCCGCCGCAGTGATTTCCTTTGGCAGATTATTCCAACTATCAATTATACGTATAAAGTAATGAGTATTTGAGACTGCTTAAGGTCGCTGATGCAAACGTAGGTTTAAAACGGTGATTGGCTCTTAAAGGCCGAAAATCGTGTGCAAATGTGAAAAAGGCCGAGGGAACAAGTCCATTAAGTCTATTTATTGTCTTATAGCACTTGGTAAGTGACGACAATAATCTTCTTTGCTTAAACACGAAGGCGTGCTATATAAGGAGGTCTTCCCTGGGAAGACCTAGGCTCATTTGTCACTCACCGTTGACGTGTGCGGGTCAAATTCAAATGCTGGTAGACGAACAAAAAGAGCTAATGAGATATCTATTGTTTACTTCCACCAACATGGTGGCATGAGGTAACGTGCGAACCACCTACTTCGATCTCAAATTTACCGCCACAAATAAAGACAGTTTCCATTGGAGAAAGGAAATACAAATCTCAAAAATCTTGTATTGTGATGTAGACATAAAACAATTTTGAGGAATGCGCCCGCTGTTCACTGCGTTGGAGTAGCTGTAGCTCAAGCTGACTTGACTCTAAGAGTTGTACATCACACGACGGCTGATTGACAAATGGTCCAGTGGGACCTAAGGCTCCTTCTATAGCGCACCTTCGTGTTTAAGTGTTGGCCATTTAAGAAATTTTAGGCGCTCTTCGTTAATCATATCTTGCCCAATTTTACCAAGGGCACATTTAGATCCTCTACGTTGTACCTTGTCCAGGGTGTTTGAGTCTTTTTTAAGGTGCGGACACCAAACTGGAGAGCAGTACTCGAGTATCGGACGCACAAGGGTCTTATAAAGTTTAGAAAACAGCTCAGGGTGTTTAGGACTCACCGTTCGCCTTATGAATCCAAGTACACTGTTTGCCCTATTTGCGCATTTTTTACCTTGCATACTCCATGACAAGTTCGAAGTAAACTCGTTTCCGAGATCTTTAGCTTCAGATACAGCTTTCAACTGATTACCACATAAATAGCCTTGACGACTTGAGAAATCACTCTTTTTAGAAATGCGCATCACTTCGCATTTATCTGTGTTAAACTTCAGCTTCCAGTCACTGCTCCAAGATTCCAGGTTAAAAAGATATTCTTGTGATTCTTCAACATTTTCCTTAGTATCCCTGAATATCGTTTACACCTTCATATCGTCTGCGAAGATTTTTTTTTTTTTTTGACATAATGTTTCTTGAAATATCATTAAGATAAATGAGAAATAAAATCGGCCCCAGAACGGTTCCCTGAGGTACACCAGATCAAACTAAAGTCCAAGAGGAGTGATGTCCCCACAGAACAATGCGTTGATATCGATTGGTCAGAAAGCATCTGAGCTAAGACAGGAGTGGGCCTTGGATACCATAAGCGTGTATATTTGTCAAAAGGCGTTCATGCGTCACGGAGTCAAATGCTTTTGAAAAGTCTAAGGGTATAACATCAGTTGACAAGCCTTTGTTTTTCTCACGGGCCAAGTCATGAAACGAAGATAATATTTGAGAAAGACAAGACTTCCCTTTTAGGATGCCAAATTCAGTGCTCTGGAATAAAGAACTCGTTTGCAATCCAAAAGTGGACAAGCTGCTGTCCTACTGTCACTTCGCACACTTTGCACACCACCGATGTCAGAGAGACTAGACTATAGCTCTTTCGATTGATTTTAGGGCCTTTCTTATGCGAAGGAGTGATGTCAGCCAATTTCCAATTGTGTGGCAACATGCCCGATGTAAAAGACACATTAAAAACATCACTTAGCGAGGAAGCTAGGGTTCCAGCACATTTCTTTAAGATCATGAGTAGCATGCTGTCCGGTGCAGGAGATTTACGAGGTCTCAACTCATCGTTAGGTAAACAGAGTAGAAGACTAAGATCCTTGTCTTTGATAACTTGGTCAAAAGATAGAAAGTTTTCAAGGTCCTCGGCTCTAAAAACGGAAGAAAAATATTCATTCATGCTCTCAGCAATTTCGCCTTCATTAGCACATTGCCATTGTCCGAGCTTTATAACAATTAGATCTTTCGATCCTTTGCGCCTGAACTGCACGTAATTCCAAAGAAAGTCCAATTTATCAAGGTACTCCCAGCGTGCCTTGTTGAATTCTTTCTTCTACAAATTACTTGCCTTTTTGTAAGTGGACCACGATTTATCCTCATTACTGCTCTTGGCTTTCTCGTACAACCGTTTCTTTTACCGTACTAGCCTAATTAACTCAGCTGAGATCCAGGGGGACCGGCGATTTTTCTTGTTTTTGTTTTTTGAAATACACTTATCAACAACGGTAAAAAATAGATCGGTCCACGCACTCCAGACTTCGTTCACAGCATTGGAAAGAAAGGCACAATCCCATGGAATGTGTTGAAACAATTCATTCAAATGTGACCAGTCAGCCTTGCTGAAGACGAAAATTCTCTTTCAGATTATTTGCGATGATAGGAATGAATATTCATATTAGAAGTAATAACATTGTGATCCGAAATTAGTTCATCAACCTCGGTGCCGCAAATCATATCACTTATATTAGTCAGGACAAAATCAATAATGCTGTTTCCTCTTGTAGGTTCTCGGACTATTTGAGTTAGGGAATTATCCGATAATATGTCTCAAATTAATTCGTATTCAACTTAATTAGTCAGCATTAGCCTACTGTGCTAGTCCACGTTCTTGAGGTTAAAGTCTTCAACTAGAAGTATTTTTTAATTCTTGCGGTGCTTGAAGCTCCAAGTACTCTTCTTTAGTATTTCTAAACAGCCGGTGTCGCTTGCCGGAGGTCTATAAAACACACCAAACACGAAAGACTTATTCTTTGAATGATGTATATCAAGCATTAACTGTCAAATTCTTCAAATACATCTGGCTGGTTGTAGTTAATCTTATCGCTTACGGCTACTAAAACTCTGCTGCCTCTTCGGTTTCTATCTCGCCTGTAACTACGAAAGTTTGATGGGAATAGCTCTGCAGAGTTTAGTAATTGATCTAAACGTGTCTCTGTAATGGCGATGATGTCGAAGTTTTTTTAATATCCATCGACTTCCAAGGAGACGGACTTGTTAAACAAGGACCTAGCGTTAAAGTAAGCCACTTTTAATCTATGAGCTGGGCCGGGATTCAACTCTATATCCCCTCCTAGAAGCAGTTAACTTGTTCAGCTTGGGCGAATGCCATAGTGGTAGCGACGCCATCTTGTGAAATGATTGTGAAGTTGACTATCAAAGCTCACCAAACACCAAATAATTCTTAATTACCTGTTCTTCGACTACGGATAAGCTGAAATCTGTGCAAGTGGCATTGGAGTGATTTTTTCCCCTGGATTCCATTTGTGCTTGAAAATAAGGGCTAAAAGTACCATGAATTGCGAAGTCCAAAAGCGCTTGGCCATACTCTTGTGACTGCCCACCATACTCTTCCGTTGAAGAGGTATAGCTGCTGTTATCCACTGTTATCTACTGAGAGGGGGAGGTGTGGCCAAGTGATTAGGGCACTGGCTTGTCGAGGACAAAACCATGTGGAAATAGTTGCTTTTCCTTTTGGAGACTCGGCAAACCTCGGTGCGATGCACGGGTGGAAAACGTTAGTTAAACACCCACCTGCAAAGCTATCTGTTTGTTAGTGGTTACAAACCTTAACTAAACACGAGGATGGAGGGAGGGAGGTAGCGAGGGAAGAAGGGAGAGGAGGGGCGGGGGGAAAGAGTCCTCTGAAGTAGACATGTATAATATTTCGCCGTATTTGTAAAGTCATAAACCACATGTTCAATGAGTAAGCTCGACTGCTCGGCTGTCATGTGAAAAATCTCAGACCTCGGCATAGTCATATTGCCCTCGCTAAGTACTGGTCGACATCATTCTGGATAAAAAGTAGTCAATAATCAATTTATTGCAGTCTAATAACTTTAACTGATTTTTTTTTGGTTTTCTACAGTTTTTTTTTCGTTGGAAACGTTGCGGCCCTTCCTAACGTTGGTTCTTGTACTTTCATGGAGAACTACTGCAGTGCTCGTAAATGCAGTACTGCCTTTTTTAAAACTTTGCAGAAATACCCAAAGGCAAACTGTGAGCAAGTACATTTGAACAGTGAAGGTTCTTTTAAAAGAACGTCTCAATGGGGTGATGGCTTTACGGCTAACGGTTAGAAGTTTTCGCCAATTAACGGCTGACGGTTAATGTCTTTCCAATAAGGTCACCAAAAATATTTTTTAAAGTTAACGTTTTTTGAACACTAACGGTTAAAAACTTATAATTATTTTACTCTGAACTACTACATTTTTTTGATTGTCATTGTCTACTAATGGTACAGACACTCTATAGCCAGGTCGAATTCGTTCTTGTAGTTTATCATTTTCAATTCGCTTTACTCCTCTCCATCCTTCATTGGTCATTGTGATATCGTCTGATTGGTTATTGCCTTTTGCTAGTTTTTATTTCATCTCCAGCTGTTACTTTTTGTTTTTGTTTTTTCTTTGGACTTAAGGACAGTCTTGCTGCACAAAAAATGCATCAACGCATCGAAAATTGATTCGACTGTTTGGCCATGATGGTTTTGTCTTTTTCGTAGTTAAAACGCGGAGCTTAGTAAACTGAAGAATTGTATGATCGACACGTTAAAGGTCTGTTCTTTTTCCGTTTCCATGTTGTACTGGGGGCACATCAAATTGTAGCTCCCATAGCGATTGATCCTACTGTGCGAGTCAGAATTTCTGGGAATTAAGTGAGTTATGTAACTTGCACAGTTGGTCTCTCTGATCCATGTTGCGTTGTTGGTTGAGATAAAAGTGCTAAGTAGAAATGAATCTCAGGAAAACCATCAGAAAAAATTAACATGTAACCTTTCGCCTTTTAACTGCACGGGACTCATTTGTTAGGACCAGGTCCGTGATGAGTGTTTTTTCAGACCGTTGCATCTTACATCTATTCTTGCGTGATGGTTTCAAAGCTCGGTTAGCAATATAGCCTGGCCTACGTGGTTTTTCGAAGCATTTATATGATATAATAAAAACTAGTTTAATCTTCGTCTTTTTTTTTATGTATTTGAGTGGCGTGGGGGGGGGGAGAGGGAGTTGAGGTGGGGACTTAGAATCTCTAATTACTATATTAGCAGTTCGCAATCTGTGTTTTTTCTACTAGCTTCGCAGTTCCACCCCCGTGTAAAGCTTGAGTTCAAGAATGTTAACATCGAAGTTAACTCAACGTTTACAGAGAAGTGTTATTGGAGTGGTGATCGAGAAATACCTCTTAACTGGACCAAGTATGGAGTGCTTCTTAGTACCAACAACATCTTAGTCATCAAAGGTGCGACTTTTAAAGATAAGGGATATTATAAATGCACTGCTCAAAATGATTATGGTAAGGCTAACGCCTCTTTCGGGATCGATGTCACAGGTAAACTCCATACTGTAGTCGACGTCACATAGTAAAATTGTAACTCTAGACAGTGTTAGATTTTGTAGTTTAAACCAGAACAAAAGGAAATTTTCTCTCTTTTCATGCATTTCTTTGAAATATACAAATGAGTAGGGAATAACGATCTAATGATACCTTTTCATTACATAATAATTCATTACTGAAGTTGGAATGAGATTTGAGAACTTCCACTTTTACTTTGTCTCAATTTGCCAGCACTAGTTCGTTTCTCTGTTGAAGGGTTCTTGATCATATGCAGATGATTTTTACTTATAGACAACCCTCTAGTACTCTCGGAAGATAAATTACGACTAAAACTACAAATAAATTCATAAAAATAACTCCCATTATTACATTATGACAAACAGTTCATGTGGTCTCTTTTAGCATTTCCATGCGTGTACTCATGTTACGGGAAGTAAAACTTAGAAAAAAGATAGGCTTACCTATTGCGTGGTTTGTTTGTTCGTTCGTTCGTTTGTTTTTTTGTTTGTTTGTTTTATTTGTTTGTTTGTTTTTGGAATTTTGTTTAGAGTTGAGCGGAAAGGGTTAAAATGGTCAATGTGAACCTTTCGTGAATCTGTTGGTCTTTTTACTTCAAGTTTCTCCCCAGATCACTAAGCCTCCAATAAACCAGTCCGCTACCGAAGGGCATCCAGTCAACTTCAGTTGCCGAGCCTCGTGTGCCAACACCAACCCTAGTCTGGGTCTTTAATAATGGTGACCTCCCACCTGACATCAATCAAACTGATCACGATGGAGAATCGTTGCTAGAATTGCCAAGTGTCACAAAAGAGATGAAAGGCACTTACAAGTGTGAAGCGAAAAACAAAGCAAATACTGCTAGTTCCTCTGCATCACTGCGTGTTTATGGTAAGTTTAATAATAACGATAATAATGACTATGACTTTGACGATAACGATGACGAAAACAACGATGACGACAATGGAGAATGGGACGGATATGAAGATAAAGCCGTAGTGATTTCCGAGACGAGAACAGACGAAGAAAAAAAATAAAAGTGACGGAGCGATCATGGGTTGACTGATACGAATTAATGTAATTGCTGCGGTGATTATAGGGATGTACGCGGTTTTTGAGAAGTCGAGCGGGTAAATTTTTTGAACAATCAGATTCTTGGCTGGGAAACATAGCGTTTGCAAATTTGTAATAGGTCTGGAATGATGTGACCTGTCTGCTGATTATATCATTTTCAACAAGACTGGAAAATATTCAGGCGCAAACGACTTTTGGTGATCATAAGCATATTAAATCGCCAGCTTTTATAATTGCGGGTTGACGTGTGAACGCGGGTAGATATCAACCCTGACAAGTGAATAGGCGAGTGCTATATTCCCTGTGAAGGAAGGAGCACAAAATCAAGACCAATGAAAACCAACTAGTATACGCTTGGCCGCTGATATTACAGATTTATCACTTTTTTGGCTACTGCATGTAAATATTTCGAGAAAAATGGGCATTCTAAGCGATGTGTTGTTGAATAATCCCCAAGACGAAACATTATCCAAAGCAACAGGTTCCAAACGTTCCTTTTGTGAGGTCAAATTTCCCTATTTTCTCAGTTTTATTAATTCAATTTGTTTTAATTTGGAAAGTTATAAATGTGAGTTACGATTTTTATGAAATTAAGTACTCCTTATTTACAACGTAGGAAAATACTCTGCTCAAGCTGCTCCAGATCGATATCCAACACTCATAACAGGAGATGTCCTCACATTGACCTGCCAGGTCACCGAAGACATAATAAATGTAACTTGGAAAAAAGATGGTGAATCACCATCAGAAAGAGCAAAGACTTATACACAATGGGACAAGAAAGAGAGTGAACTTACCATTACTAAGGTTTTGGAAGAAGACGGTGGAAAATATTCTTGTGAAGGACGTAACAAGCTTGGGTTTGTGGCTCGCTCCTTCGTAAAAATAACTGTCAAAGGTAAACTGGCGTTACTGTTGTGTCTAAGAAAGCACATAAAACTTCAGTAATCACGTAACGAGGTAATTCTTATAGAAAAAACTTTTACTTCTTACTATTCTATCAAATTTTATTATTGGTTTTTGTTTTCTGGAAAAAATTTTTCCTTTCATGAAATTTTTTTGTCGCGAACCAGTGAGTAGTACTTCTGCGAACAGTAGTTGTAAAACTGTTTTATCCTCCAAAGGGAGCCAAGGTTCCAGTTCTTTGTGGTATTACATCGGTGGATCAGTAGCAGCAGTGATTGTCATTTCGCTGATTGCCTGCTTTTTCTGCAGGACAGGTGAGGCCCGGTTGTCCTGTTTTATTTTAGCTCTCTTGGTTTAAAGTTGGGGAAGCTAAAAATAATTCAGTTGATTATTTTTGTCTACTTCACCGCACACTTAACTGATTCCTCGAGCTTACCCTTACAGGTAGAAAAATAAATAAATAAAACTAACGAACGGAACTTTCATTTTTTTTTTTCATTACTATTATTGTAATAATAAGGATAGTAACTATTATCATTACTAATTAGTCGGTATTTTGAGAACAATTGAAAATGTTAGCTAATATTTGGTGTAAATTCAAACCATGCTGCTATTGTATAGTAATTTTAAAATATACCTGATTAAATAAATTAGTACATAATCTTTCCCTCTTTGTCTCCTCCCTTAAATTTTTCAATTGGAATGGCAGCTATGGCTCTGTAAGTCAACTGTTGCCTTTAATCACCAAATATCTGCACGTAAAGTTCTCGCCATGTGCCTTATATTAATCTTTACCATGCTGTCTCTATATATTCGGTAACATAAACTTACTATTGTTTTGGATATATCAACAAAGTTGAAATGGTAAATTGGCCACCGTAATGATTACAAAAGCTGACGTTTCGAGCGTTAGCCCTTCGTCGGAGCGAATAGAGGAATTGTCGGTTGTGTGTGCTTTTAAAGGCAGAGAATGGAGCTACGTTATTGGTGGGTGCATGGCAACGAGAAAAACATGAATAAATTAGTGGAATGAAAAGCGTTCATTGATCCCTGTGGGATTTAGACTGCCGGTTTGAAAGATGAGCTTTTGTTCAAGATTTTTACGGCTTTCCGTGCCACCTAAGTGCAAGGAAAGACCGCAGATTGCCATATGTTGCTTAGAATGATTAGGTAAATTAAAATGTCTAGCGACTGGTTTCGATGTGTCCTTGTCATTCCTTTCCACGTCTCGAAGGTGTTCTCGGAATCGGTCACCTAGTCTTCTGCCTGTTTCGCCGATGTATATCTTTTTGCAATAAGTGCAAGTTATGCAATAGATTACATTGGCGGAGGTGCACGTGAAGTGATCGGTGATCTTAATGGATCGTTTAGGTCCCGATATTTTATCAGTGTTGTGAATGAAAGGACACGTTTTGCATCGTGCACGAGCGCATTTAAAAGTGCCTGGTTGGTCATTAGTCTGAAAAGAACTTCTGACCAAAAAATTGCCTATGTTTTTGTCGCGTTTGAATGAAATGAGCGGAGGCTGCGAAAAGATAGTGCTTGTCTCTGGATCGTTTTGAAGTAATTTAAAGTTTTTAAGAATGATGGATTTAACTGAGTGGTTGTGAGGGTGANGTCTTTCCTTGCACTTAGGTGGCACGGAAAGCCGTAAAAATCTTGAACAAAAGCTCATCTTTCAAACCGGCAGTCTAAATCCCACAGGGATCAATGAACGCTTTTCATTCCACTAATTTATTCATGTTTTTCTCGTTGCCATGCACCCACCAATAACGTAGCTCCATTTTCTGCCTTTAAAAGCACACACAACCCACAATTCCTCTATTCGCTCCGACGAAGGGCTAACGCTCGAAACGTCAGCTTTTGTAATCATTACGGTGGCCAATTTACCATTTCAACTTTGTTGATATATCCAAATTATTTCGTTACTCCCACCGACGCAGCCCCAAACAGTTTCTTTCGAAACTATCAGCCTTTACTATTGTTTTGGTTTGTTTTTGTGAAGCATTGTTTTCAATTTGTCCATATAAGTAAAATTTAGCTATTATTCCTCTCATGACTCACGACCTTGTATGATGACTGTAACAGAGATCATATCACTTTACTTTTATCACGGTCAATATGCATAATTACCTTTCATCAATTGTTATTTAGAAACAGCTTCATTCGTTCCTTTGTCAATTCTCTTTTTTCTTGTCTCACAAGTCTCTTTGATCCATTAGTTTTTATAATTGAATTCAATGTCTTTTTTCGTTTAACTTAAAATTGAATTGTAACTTTCCGGTTTAGAAAGTAACCGAAAAGGTTTCCATGATTGATTTTAATAAACAACGAGGTTACTTTTTTTAACTTCATCAGATTTGCAGAGTACTTACATAATCATAGTTACAAACGTGTTTTGTGATAATATCGGTCCCTGATTTGGCGAAAACTTTGTCTTTTCATTGTCAGTAAGAATGTTTATCTCGATACGAGTCAGGGCAATAAATCAGATTATACTAGCAAATTAATATTTTTTTTGCTTCTGATGTCTTTTCTCTTTATCGCTTTTCTTTGTTTTAACCCAGAAAATATGTAATGCTTCCAATTTTCAGTTCTGATTAAGAGCAAGAAATTCAGCTGGAGCCATTGAATGTAGAGGTTGATGAATGGGAGATTGAGGTGAGCCATGTCTTGCTTCAAGAAGTCATTGGGCGAGGGGCGTTCGGAGCCGTGTGGAGGGCTCTCCTGAGTTCACCAAATGGAAGACCCGGAAACCAAACAGTCGCCGCTAAATGCTTCACGCGTAAGATTCCTTTGATTCGATATGTTAATACATATATAAATTCCACGGTTGGATTAAAAATAGTTCATTCTCGAATCAATACACACCCTTCCCCACCCTTCTTCACTCACAGATAAACACGGGACAAACGGGAGAAGAGGCAAACAAATTCTTTGAAAACAATCAGCCAGTTTGGCGATACTGTCATTGCAAACATTTTTTAGTCGGGCATTTTTTAAGGTGTGTGTGTGGGGGGGGAGAGGGTGGTCTCCCGGATCTTCCATCGAGCTCTAAATCCGCCACAAGATCCACTGGAGCTTACTCTTTCCTTAAACTATGTTTTATTAAAGTGCAAGTACTTCCGATATAAAGTGACTCATCCCCATTTTTGCAGTGGTTGACTGTCTAGGATTGAGGGGGCATTCTAACAGACTGAGTGGACGGTGGTTTTCTATAGTATTTGCGATGTTGCGGATGGCCAACGCGCGGCCGTCGCCTGGGTTCCCGTATGGGACATCTAATTCTTCGCGCATGCGCGGAGGCGGCATCTCTGAACGGTGCCACGAGGCCATCGATTTGAGACCTCTTTATACTGTTCACTTTTTCTCTATTTCGGTCATAATGTTGGGTTAATCACTGTACATATTTAGTGCGAGTTTTCTCGACGCCTTCGCGAAGAATTTCGGTTTAAAAGTTCTGATTTTTGTGGGTGGTCACCGTTCGCGGCAACATACGGAACAAAAGCCACAACAAAAACAATTTACATAATTATCGGCTAAACAGAGAAAACCAAGAGTGCAATGTTAGGATCTAAGCTTAGGCTGATTCCGATCTAAACGACTCAGCAATGTCTAGGGAGAACCCGTCGATGAGTTGAGTAACGTATTGGTTTCAAATAGTTCATCTTAATGATAAAAGGACGATGTGAGGTTTGAAACCCAAATAGACTATTTCTCAGTCTCAAGCTTGAAACAAATACATTTATCAGAATAATTATCACTTCATCAATAAACCCTGTTTTTGTAGCCACTGCTGGAGAAGAAGGAAGGAATTGTTTAATGAGAGAAATTGAGCTGCGAAAACTTATTGATGAAAACAATCAGCCAAGCATTGTAAGGTTCATGGGCTGCGTTTCAACTCAAAGTAAGTACTAAATGTATAGCCTTTTTCTATGTATAATTTATTAAAAATACTGCAAATATTGAGGACCTCTCGATGTGCTTCATAAACAGAATGGCCCGTTGATCGGACGAAGTTTGTCGTTTCTTTTTTTGTTTTGGTTTGCTTGTTTGTTTTGTTTTGTTTCGTTTGTGTGTTTTTCTGCGTGCATGCGTGCGTGCATGCGTGCGTGCGTGCGTGCATGCGTGCGTGCATGCGCGCGTGCGCGCGTGGGTGTGTGCGTGCGTGCGTGTGCGTGTATGTGTGTGTGTGTGTACGCGCGGCGTGGTAGCGAGGCTGTTCTTCTTTGAGAACATTTATCGATAGCCCGATCACGAAGATCTTGGACGCAGGACCAGAGTATCTAATATCATTAATCTTGGTAACCGGGTTACCTCGCTTTTTAGGCGTAAGTCTCAGGAAGGAAAATCTTTAAAAATGAGTCCTCTTCCGAAGTTTTTAATAGATATTGTGGTTATGAGCCTTGACATTGTTTTATGCCACTTCAAGTTCACTCAATTCTTATCATGGAATACATGCCATGCAATGACCTACTTCGTTATCTGAGAAAATGCCGAGGAGTGAGGGATCGGTATTATTTTGGTGATGGTAGGGCTCAAGATTTGACCAACTATGATCTTGTGATGTTTGCCAACTTCGCTGCCGGTATGGTGTTCCTTGGATCGAGAAGGGTAAGTGGAGTCCTTCATTGTTGTCATAGATCAATTCTAACTCCAATTTATAACTTCTTGTAGGTACGTTTCACTTGCATGAAGTCTGAGACCTTTTTTGGGCTATGGTACTTTTATTACAGCGAGCAGGTCACTTCGGATGTCAAACTTATAGGGCCGGTTATTCAAAGAAAGTTTAGCCGTTGTTTAACAAAACCACGTTCTAAACTATCTTCATTTTAGCCTAACCTTTTGTGGGAGCATTTATTTTTTACGATCAAAGCTAAGAAAGCCGGAAACGTATGGTCGAGGGACATTTATTTAACTAATAGAGAAAACCCGACGCCCATTGCTTGGGTAAAACCGCAGTTTGGGTTGGACCTCGTCTGAATAACTAAACCTTTTTCATGAATGTGTGAACTTGTAAAAGAGGTTTCTTTACTTTAATGAGAAAAGGGATATGAGAGTAATTTTCATAATAGTTCGGTTGAAACAGCTAAAATAGGATGCCTACTGAGGTGTAACTCAATGCAACGGTAAAATGGTCGGATATGCGCCAACCATATTAGATTTTGGCCTGTTGTGGGACACTCTGCTGCGCTAAAAGCACAGAAAAAAAAGTAACATCCAAACTATTATGCCAATTTTAAGAAAACAAAGCGAAAAAACGGAACGTCCCTCGACAATTTTTACAAGAAACGAAGGTAATGAAAAGAGCATGTTGTTTTTCTGAGCACAACCGGTCTTCTGTTGGTTTACCATTTCTAAATTTCATTTTACTGTCATAGTTATTATTAATGTGATTGTCATAATTATCATCATCATTATAATTACTGTTTTTCCATTTTTTTATGAAGGTAAACGATTTAGTCCTGACAGCCTTAAAGAACTATAATGGCCTGCCTAGTCTCCCTTTTCTCTTCGACCATACTCGCCGTTTTGTCCTGAAATCAATTCATAATGAGAGGATTTCGCGTCATGGATCTTTGTCTCCTGGTAGATCATCCATCGTGACCTTGTGGCCCGAAACATTCTCCTCGATAACAACTATGTTTGCAAAGTGACAGACTTTTGCATGGCATATCAAAGCTTCAAATATGGCCATGGAAATGCCAAGAAGGTAGGAAATGCTTCTGTTGTTGTTGTTGTTGTTGTTTTATTGTGGAGCTTTCTGGAAAAAGCTGTAAACGCCAGCATTTTCTCAGCATGAAATTAACTTCGCTCGACCACCAACATGGCTTTCATAGTTCACATTGACCTTAAAAAAAGGGAAAAAGACATTGCAAGGTAAAACGCTAGACATCGGGGTATATAAATTTTACTGAGGTTTTTTGTAGACAGTCTCGCGAAAGGAGGTGTGCTTTCTATTTTCTAATAGGACTGCTTGAAGGCTATTTTACAGAGAATGGCAAATTCTTTTTCTCTTAATTTAATCATTCACTTATATTCTCCAAGATCATCAGTTCTGATGCATCTCGCCGTTCAACGGCCCAAAATACTTTTTTAGCTCTTTTGCTTTTCTCATTTTCGTTAGCCATAGTTCTCCTATTTTTTCGCAAAAAATTCGGCAACTGCTAAAATGCTACATTTTACTTCCTCATACAATTAAGTGTATGAACGACCGACTATTCTTTTGGTGTTCAACATTTCACAGTGTTTTTGTTTACACTAGCACTGATTTTTCTCTGCAGAATAACAGTTATTCAGGAAAAAATAATAAAAAAGATGTAAAGCAAAAACAGACAAAAAAAAAACCAAACAAAACAAATAACAATATGATAACAATTATTTAAACAGAAGTTTTAAAGTGCCTATAACCCCCAAAGAATTTTTTGGCCATATTAAATCTCTCTCTTGCACTGAGCAAACTGCCGCAAAAAATTTTGTGTTTGGTTAAAACTGCGATTTTTTTATGAATTTTCAAAGTCGTGGAAAATCGCATTTTTTCAAAACACGACCGAGGCACGGAATTATCAAGATGGGTCTGGGTCGAGCACAGTTTGTGACGTCATTCCAGGCTTTCCAATGAGTTTGCTTCAAGGACTGGATGAAGTATCTTGACGGATATGTCTGATAAGTGCGTTGTTTTCCAGTGTAGCAACACTCCCAACAAAGAAAAAAGAATAGCACTTCACTCGATACCTTTTTATGGGGCAGATGACCTGGAGAAAAAAAAATTTAGAAAGAAGTGGGTTGACTTTGTGCAATTCAAGCGTGCACATTGGAAGCCCACAAAATACTCGGCCGTGTGTTCCAACCACTTCCGAGAAGAAGACTATTCAGTCATGTTTTCTGCTCTGACTAGCGAGACCATGCAACGAAGGTTGCGAAAAGATGGAGTTGGAATTTCCGTCTTTCCAACTGTTGAATTACGGTCAAGTCCCTCACGGTTCAACTCGCCAACGCCAACTCGCCGACGTATGAAATAGAGTAAAGACGTCGGTGAGTTGGTCCTCAATCCAGTACAACTTATTAGAAGTTATACATGTAGAAATGTAATCGATCTTTAGTAAAAAAAACATTATTTTTCTTCCAATAAAGTTTATAAGGATCTCAACGCAAACAAAGCATGATAAACATCGCCAATTACTGTAGCAGCTTCAGACGCGAACGAGTTATCTTTATTGCGTGACAACAACACCGTAAAGAATCATCATGTCAATCGCGATTGGTCAGATTTTTTTCAGAAAACTTGGCTTTCTAGACAAGATCTTTAGTAAAAAGCAATTCTTTTTATTTCCAAAAAATTTTAGAAGGATCTCAAGGCGAATAAAGCAAGAGAAACATCGCCAATTACTATAAAGATTCAAACGAGAACGAGTTGTTGTGGACAACGATCATACTAACGACTCATCATTGCAATCGGTCAGACTTTTAAACAAAACTTAGCTTTCAAGACAAGAATTTTAGTAGAATGCAATTCTTTTTGTGTCCAATAAAGTTTCTAAGGATCTCATGGCGAACAAATTAAAGAAAGATAAACATCACCCATGACTATGACATTTTCAGACGCGAACGAGTTATTTATTGTGTGACAACAACACCGCAAAGACTCATTATGTCAATCGGTCAGATTTTTTAAAGAAAACTTAGCTTTCTAGTTAAGATCTTTACTAGAGAACAATCGTTTTTATTTCCGACGAAGTTTATAAGAAACTCAAGGCGAATAAAACAAGCTAAACATCGGTAACGACTATAAAAGCTTCAGACGCGAACGAGTAAGTGTGACAACAACACCGTAAATACTGATATCCTGTCAATCACTCAGATTTTTAAAGTAAAATTGGCTTGCTAGACAAGATCTTTAGTGAAAAACAAATTTTTTTATTTGCTACTGAGTTTAAAACGATCTCGAGGCGAATAAAGCAAAGTTAACATCGCCAATGACCAAGAAAAGCTTTAGACGCGAACGAGCTATTGCGTGACAACCACAGTAATTACCACGTGGTGTTTGAGTCTTTTGTAGGTTAGCGGACCAAAACAGTTTACGAGTCAACATTTTACTTGTTTATTCCTTACAATTTACTTAAGATGTTACTTTAGTTCAAGTTTAAGCACTCGATAAAAGTTGAGGCGACGTGACTCAAAATATCGGGCAACATGACTATGAGTTTCGGGCAACATGACTTCGAGCGAGATCACTTTCGGGTGACTCGACCGGTTACCAGTCGTTCGCGTCTGAAGCTTTTACAGTCATTGTCGATGTTTATCTTGTTTTATTCGCGTTGAAATCCTTAAAAAATTCGTTAGAAATGAAAAGAATTGTTCTTTTCAAAAAGATCTCGACTAGAAAGCTAAGTTTTCTTTTAAAATTCTGACCGATCGATATGATGAATCTTTACGGTGTTGTTGTCACACTCACTTGTTCGCGTCCGAAGCTGTTATGGGCATTGGTGATGTTTACCTTTCTTTGCTCGCCATGAAATCCTTAAAAACTTTGTTGGACATAAAAAGAACTGCATTTTACTAAAGATCTTGTCTAGAAAGCTAAGTTTTCTAAATAAAATCTAACCGATGGTCATGATGAGGCTTTACGGCGCTGTTGTCCACAACAACTCGTTCGCGTCTAAAGCTGTTATGGTAATTGACGATGTTCATCTTGCTTTGTTAGCCTTGAGACTGCTATAAACTTTTTCGGAAATGAAGAATTGCTTTTTACTAAAGCTCTTGTCTTGAAAGCCAAGTTTTCTGAAAAAAACCAGACCGATTGACATGATGAGTCTTTACGGTGTTGTTGTCACAATAAATAACTCGTTCGCGTCTGAAGCTCCTATAGAAACTGGCGATGTTTATTATGCTTTATTCGGGTTGGCATACTTCTAAACTTTGTTGGAAGAAAAAGAATGTTAATTTTTACTAATGATCGTTTACTTTTCTACATGTTTAACTTCTAATAGGTCGTACTGGATTGAAGACCAACTCGTCGACGTCTCTACTCGATTTTATACGTCGGCGAGTTGGCGTTGGTGAGTTGAGCCGTCGGCGACCTAACTGGATACCCAACTGTTCACGCGTGGAATGTTGAGGAAACGAAATCAGCTGAAAGCGAGCGAAGTAAGAGAAAGGTGAGAAAAATTTACCAGATCAGGCTTTAGCGAAGGTTTCATTTCGTTGGGAACGTATAATATTGACTGAGATTGGATCGGAGCGCCACTGCCGATGGCCTGGAATGTCGTCACTAGCCCCAGTCTCTGGTTCACTCGTTCGTTCCAAATATAAACCCGACTTAAAAAAATCATAAAAAATCGCGGTTTTAACCAAACACAAGAATTTTTGCACATTTTGCTCAATGCAGTAGAGAGATTTATATGGCCAAAAACATTTTGGGGGGTTAAGGCACTTTAATGTCTCTTTCTGCAGGGATGTTTGCCAATCAATTGGACTGCACCAGAAATTCTGCTGGGAAATCTCTCTGGACTTTCCACTTTGAGTGATGTGTATGTATCGTGTATATTCTTCCATCACCTCAACACAATGATCACCCAATTTGACTTTCTTTGTTATACTTCCTATCCAAAATTCACTCGCCACTAACTGTGGAATATTTCTGATATGTTCATCACGTGGTCCTATGGAATCGTTCTGTATGAGATAGTTACCCTTGGTAAGCCAAACTTAATACAATACTTTTTTCCAGGCCTTTCATTCTTGGAAATATCCTTAAACAAGATAATATAGATGGTTTACATTCTCTTGCCTTAAGTTAATTGACTAGTGTCTCAGTCTTGTAACACTGATCAAGCTGTCTAACTTCTCTTGTAAAAATGAACCCTGATAATGAGTTCCGGTCGAATTGTATAACCTCCAGGCAAAAAGTAGGACAGTTGTCGTTTCTAGGACTATCCCGTGTTCAGTAAAGATCATCTGCTTTTTACATCAGAAAATCAAATCTCATTAACTCTGTTTTCATTTTAATATGCAGCAAGCTATTAATCGATAGTTAATCTCATGAAATAAATTGAAACAAGTAGAAGGCTTCCATAGTGTTCAATTGTTAGAGACTACCATCAAAACCGAACCAAAACGAAGAAACTTTAATTAAGAATTGTTTCATGCTTAGCGTGCGTCTATCGAGTTATGGATGCACGCGGGGAGTTTGGAGAGCATGAGAGAGGCGTAAGAGTTGCTCGAGGCGCAGCCGAGAGCAACCCTAGCTTCTTGAGTGCTTTCCAAACTTCCCAAGTACATCCATAACTCGATATACGCACAGCTAAAAGCATGAAACAATTCTTTTAGAACATACGAAAACAATTTGGGCGCTGAATGATGTTTTTGTAATGTCTTTTTAAATGAAAGTTGCTGAAAATGTTGGCGTATCCCATTGTTTTGTTGATTTTGTAATTAAATGGTTTTCGGTAGAGGTAACAAATGTAACCAAGAAAACGTCATCAGCAGAGACGTTTACCTTTAAAAGTCGCGACAGACTAATTTGTAGTCTTCTTAGTTCTTGCTAAACGTCTTTCATCTAAAATTTTCTCCAGCTTCTGTTCAGATAAATTCGGGAAACGGGCCTGTTGTGTTTCGTTTTCGTAGTGCTTGTGCTGGTTGGCTTGACTACTTGCGGGAAGGTCGAAAGCCAAAGAAAAGTTTAGTTGGTCCTCGATTTACTAATACCGCTCTCCGAAACTTTAACTTAAGGCACTCACACGACGGAAATTTTGCAGCTATTTTGAAACTGCACACGTCATTTTATTGAGCACGGCCGTTCGTACATAAAGATTTTGTTCATGTTGACGCAATGGGAATTAGTTAGGACTAGCGCGCGCGCTATGTTATAAACTACATCGACTCAGGAAAACTTATATTTGAGCATCATCAAGCTATGTAAATGTACACGCAGGATTAAGGAAAATTTAGATATGGGCATCATCAAGCTATTTAATTTAAACGCAGATTTCTTTCTCGTTTAAAATGATGCCGAAAAGGAACACGAGGTCTCAGCCACAGTAATTTCGTAGAACATGTTTATACTATGCACTCTTATCATGTGACCTGATAGGTGTTTACAATTGTGATAAATTTTTAAAATTATAGCTCTCTGACTATAATTTCAACAACTTTATCAGTGATATACTCAGTAATATCACATGCACACATCCTTATGCCTTGTCAGGAGGAATTCCAAACGATGGATGGTCAGAAGGCAGGGTGGTTGCAGAGGTCACAAAAGGATGTCAGATGCCAAAGACTGATCATGTTGATAAAGAACTGTGAGTTCTACCTCTCTGATGCGATATCGACGTGTTCCAATTACTATAGCCTAAAATTCAACACATCAAAATTAACGATCTTCTTGTAGACTTCTTTGCAATGAAATAATTAAACAATGAATATAAAAGCAGTTTTATTTTAAAAGTGTGAACTAAGAGCATAAGGTATTCAGCTGTGATAATGCATGTCTACCTTCTTCGACGAGATCAGAGCGAGTGAAATGGTGCAGATATGTTCGATGACCCAAAACGAACCTAAACCATCATCTTCGTTAAAAGGGTTCCTGTAGAATAAACTTCTTGCAATTCCTTGCATAGTCCAAGAAACATAGTTGAGAATTGACCATCATTGTTTAATTTCAGGCACGATATGATGAAACGGTGCTGGAATCTTAACCCTGACTTCCGTCCTCCATTTGAAAACCTGCGACAAAGATTGGACAAATAACTTCGTGAAGAGCTTTGTTGAATTGAAACCTTGCTAAAATTCTGTGAATTTTGAAGCCTCTAAGATTTTTCGGTACTATGACACCATTTAGTTTCGGGAGCAATGCTTGATGTGATTGGTCTATTTTGTTCCCCTACGTGCTGTAAGCAGCTCAACAATGACCATTTAGACCCCTGGTCAGTGGTGCTTTCACGCTCGTTACGCCGTCTACGCGCATTTCACCCTTTCCAGTTTATAAATCTCTCTTAGAACCGCAGAGGTTCTCAGTCTGCCGTGGAAGTAACTGCACTTTTCAGCTTAACTTCATTGTAATATAATGCTGTGAGGCAAGTGCACAACCCTTATTTCTTGCTTTCCACCCCAGACATACGTGGAACTCCTTAATCTGGGAGCTTATGACAAGAAAAAATACTCCAGAGTTGAAGATCTTGGAGATATAGATGCAGGACCGAGTGATGAAGTTGTAAAAGAAGGCTGCTGCATAAAGATTGGGAAAATGGTCCAGTGCCCGCCGTTAGGGTTCCTTTCTGTCACCTCTCGGTGCTAGGCTATGCGTGATGACAGCGATGATTTGACGGTCTTTCTCTATTAAAAGAAACAAACGAGGTCTTTTTTTAAGGTAATAATTCATTAAGTTAATTGTTTAAAGATACAAATAATTAATCAATTCAGTTGGATTCAAAGTAGGAGAATTTGGGTAGATGTTACTTGAATTTCCTTAACTGATTAAAACATGAGAGAAAGAGATAAAATAACATCCAAACAGTTAAAAAACAAAACAAACTTGAGAAGTGACCCGTCCATACTCTTTAAATTTGCGAGCTGTTGTAGTAAAAACATTCCACCGTAAATTTTTTTGGAGCAAATCTANTATGCTGATGTTATTGACTCCGTAACGTGTCCTTTAGTTCACATGCATTTTGCTCTCATATTGCTTTGTTTAACTTTGGAGCCATTGCTATTTGAAGACAAATGATTGCATTGATATTGAAATTTATTGGTTTGCTTTAAGTGTTAAAGGCTTTTGTCGTAAACGGAGAGAACCGTCTTAACAGAGTGAGGAAATTTAGATTAGTACTAATTTTCTTGTGTGGTTTCGGTTCGTATGAGAAAAACGCTTATTAAGGAGCGCTCGTTTTAGTAGACAGACACAACTTTGTCGTGGTAAAACGGAATTCTTGTTTGAAAACTGATTGGATGTAGATCATGTAGATGTATGAGCGTTTATTTCTGTACTATACAAAACCACAAAAAACGTATTTAGTGTTATGTCATACACTCCATTTAATATCTGCAATTAAAAGGTTAAAAGCGTATCTTATGGCTTTTGATTGAACGCAGATTCCTTTAAATTGATACCTTGCCGTATCCTTGCTTAGCTTTCCTATGGATGACGGCGTCCTTAAAGAAGAATTGTCAAAACATAAGGTGTTTTTCTCTTCAGCGGTTATGATTATCTTAACCAAGGGGCATCAATCAATCAGACACCCACGCCAACTCCTACTACTGAGCTCGTGATAGAAAGGTTAATCATAAATCAAACTGAACTACAACAGATACACCCATGAACACGGCGTACGATTTTCAAGAAATCATATTTGACAGAGAATACGAGCTATTTTTAAATAGACTCACGCAGGACTATTCTTTAGTACATAATCCAGAGAAAAAACAGCTTCAATGGGATGTGATATTCAACGATCAGGAAGGAACGATCACGATGACTGTAGAGAAGGTTGACGAGAGTTCATTTCCGTCGCGGCTGGATTTTAAATTACATTGTCATTTTGCCCTAATGAAAGATATGTGCGATCTTCTTGGTTGGACGAAGTATGCGAATTACTAGAGTACCTTTGTCCCTAAACATGGCCCTAATCTCGGGAGAGGAAACGGAACACCAAATTTGTCGAAGATCGTACCGATTCTCAACATTGTGGTTATAGATACGGGTTATTGGAATCCACTTTAAAGGGGGTGATAATATCTCGATAGATTCTATCGTGTTTTTTTCTCGACGAGTTTACCCACACGTTCACGAATCTGAAAGAAAGTACCTATAAACATGGCATGGCACCAGGCACGCTTTACCTCTATTCCAGTTTATGTGCCCCTGTCACCATGGGTGATCAAACGACCGATCTGTGACGCAATTTTCAGTATGCATCTCTGTTTAAAGGGAGTTATTACTACGAACCGAGACACGTTCATTACATTGCATTGCGTAATCAACACATCGACGAGGTGGAAACGCAACTCAGCGAATCGGAGAATAATAATCTAGCCCAATTTAGTAGCGATGGGGCGAGCATTTTGACATTACATTTCAGAAGAGTATCATAAGTAAAGGGTGTCTTTGGGATGGAATTTATTTTGAACGTAAATACGAGATGAGTAACTTTTACTTGACGTTACCGAGTAACGATGGAAGTATCAAGTATTTTCCCGGAAACACAAACAATTCTTTGACAAATCGACTCAACAAGCGCTTGGATTTGGATCGACGATGGAAGGTTGGGACTTCCAGCATTTCGTTACCCCACGAATCGATATTGATTTCTTATCTGAAAGGATTAAAAGACACGGACTTATTGCTGAAATCGTATCGAACGGTCTATAAAAAGTCTACAAGACAACAAGTACACATTGAAACGGATGTGACTTATGGAGATATAAACAATACGAGAATGGAAACGGTCTTTGATTTTGTGAAAATGATGTTTGAAAGAGAACACGAACTATTTTTAGATAATCTCACGAATGATCATTCGTTAGTAAATTTACCGGGGAAATAACAGATTCACTTTGATATACTTTTCAACGAGGATGCGGGTACTATGTTTGTAACCTCTGAAAAGGTAGATGCGAGTGCATTTGAGTCGCAGCTGCATTTTATGGTGCATGTGACGTTCGAAATAGGGTTAGATATCTGTCAACTCTTCGGATGGGTCTAGGGTGACACATACAAAGGGACTCCCGCGCAAAAGCCGGGGTCTAATCTCGTGTCTCAAATACGCGGGACGGAGTTTTCAAAAACTCGTTCAGATTCTAACTATGATGTGTTTAGATACGGATTGGCAAAGAGGACGTTCAAAGGAAAGGATGATATCGCCGTCGATTCTATCGTGTTTTTTCTTAACGAATATAGTTTTACATTCATCAATTTTAAAGGAAGTACCTATAAAAATGGTATGGCACCACGCACGCTTTATCTCTATTCCAGTTTATGCACTCCGGTCATCATGGGTGATCAGACCACCGATCTGTTACGCAATTTTTAGTGTACACCTCTGTTGAAAGGGAGTTATTACTACGAACCGAAACACGTTCATTACATAGCCTTGCGCAATCAACACATCGACGAGGTGGAAACGCAACTAAGCGAATCGGAGTATAACAATCTAGCCCAATTTACAAAGGATGGAGCTAGCATCGTCACGTTGCATTTTATAAGGGTTAAGTAAACCTACATGAGTTTATTCCAAGCAGTCACATCATGGTGGGAGTTACGAGAGGTATCTCAACGGGGAGGGGGGGGGTAGGAGGGAGAGGAGGTGTAACGTACAGAGTGGCAACAACAACCCAGCAAGTCTACGAAACGAAGAAAGCCCCCTCTATTTAGTAAAGGTCGAAAATCTCAAAAGAAGCAACAGTGAAGAGGTATCGAGTCCTTCAAAGGTAAATTCAAGGTGAATGCCATACCCAAAGGTGTCAAGATGTTGTATAACATTGCAAAAGGAAAACCGGTCTCGCAAGGAATCAAACGCATAGAAGACGGTTATGCCAACAGATATGCAAACTATCGTAAGAGTGGGGGACGCATGACTAAACTCCAATGGGCAAAAGCTAATCACGCAATAGTACGACCAGACCCCTTGTTGCATCATGTAAAAAACTTTTATTTTAAAATTTCCATCACATGCGAGATAGAGTTTGAAAAACTAAAAGATTTGCTAGTTCTAAATCGTCTTGTTCTAGTCTTTTGTAACCGTAATGAAACGATCTAAATGTCTCGCTGTCCGTGACTCGCTTATCAAACACGAGTCGATACGATTTGATTTTTGTTTCCGTTCTTATCTTTTTCTTGACGGGGTCGCGGACAAAATGCAGGGGGTTGATGATATCCGTTTTTCTCGGGTCTTCCAGGGGGTGAAGTATTTCGTCCAGGATGTTTTGCTTCATCACTTCGTAATTGAGTTGCGAACGTTTAAAGAAAACCCTTTGACTTTTACGCACGATCTCACTTTGGCTGCTACGTATCCGTAACTTTTCGCTCCCGCCGAAATGAATTCTACGATATAATCGTCCTCGTCCAGTTCATTGGTCATATCTCCCAAATAATCACCCAAGGCAGCTTCTGTCTCTCCCGGTTTCTAGGTGTACACCACCGAATCGGTATCGTAATACAAGACACGATCTTTTAAGATTACCAACGATTCGTAGAGTTTAAGGCGTGCCTGACACGTGGTGAAGGCGGCAATAAAGACATTTGTAGCGCGACCTTTGATGGGATCTTCCTCTTCTCTTCTCGTCACTACTTCCACGAGCTCGGGGGAAAGGATTCTGATATCTTGTATGTGTTCCAGCGGATCGTCGATGAGATTTAAAAGCGATGCGGGTTGAGTGAATTGGTAGGTTTCTGCTTTATTACAATTTTGACCAAACTTTCCCCAGAAGGAATTCAACATGAATTTCGCCGTAGCTTTTCTACCGGGATTTTTGGCAATCATGGTTGGATCCAGATCTATTCCCTCGCGCTCCTTATACTGGCGAATGTAGCTGGTTTTTTGAGTTTCCGTCTGGCACCAAGATGGGTACCCGCTGCCTTCGTGCTTGATGTTGAGCCAGGTGTCGACATAGGGAGCAAAGAGACCGCGACATCTTTTTTCGAAATGCCTTACCTCGTGGATTTTGATGAGACAATACCCCATTGCGATGGCTTTATGTATTTCTGGAGTACACCAAGTACCACGCAGCATTCTTTCTTCGTATGAATGGATACA